GCCCGGAGGCTTGCAGGAGCAGCGGCGTGCACGGGCGGGCGGGGAGGGCAACGCCTGGCATGCAGGCGCAGAAGTTGGCATCAAAGGCCGCAGAAAAGAAACTGCAGTTTCTGTGCTGCAGGTCCGTCTCTTACTAGCTTTAAAGTAGCCTGCCTTGAGCCCATCAACTCTGGGGGAATGACAAAATCAGATTTAAGAGCTGGCGTGGTGCCGCACGCTTGTTATCTCAGCACTCAGGAGGCTGAGGCAGGAGGACCGTTGAGAGTTCGAGACCAGCCTGGGCTACAAAGTGAGTCAAGGCCAGCCTGAACTGCATAGAGAGACCCTGTCTCAAAAAGATCCACCCCCCGCCAAAAAAAAAAAATCAGATTTAAGGAGCTACAGTAGGGGCTAGGAATTTAGCTCAGCGGCACAGCGCCTGCCTGGCAAGCGCAACGTCGTGAGTTCGATTCCCAGTACCAGAAAAACAAACAAAAAAAAAGAGCTACAGTACAAAGTTGAGGGCTGAGGCTGACCGGTGGTCACTACACCCTGACTCGCGCATGCGCGCGCTACATCACACTGGAGCCTGCTTTATAACAGTGTATAACGCAAAATAGAAATCTGTTACTGTGTAAAGGAAGGCAGGAAAGAGGCAACCCGACAACAGGACAGTAAGCCAGGCCTGAGCGAAAAAGTCGTCTATGACAGCCTCGCTGTAGCCGCTTGACAGAGTCTTTACTCAACGCAAACTGAGATGACTGGATTTTGCAGCATAGTCTGTGCCCTTTCCTGTGAAGCCTGCTGTCTGCTTGAGTTTCCCGCCCTGACACCTGATTGGCCGCGCTGCGACTGCCTGCCAGGTGATGTCTCCATCCGGAAACCTGGTAGGTGAGTGTAGCCACCGTCGCTGCTATTCCTGATGTTCTCTGAGTGATACTCCATCCACTGATCATCCTTCCTTTCCCCATCAGTTTCCACTTGCTCATGCTGTATTTGCAGTTGAGTCCAATCTCTCCCTACTTCAAAATCTCAACCCCCTGCTTCCTACATTTTACAATTTTGTTTTGGAGGTGGGCGTGCTGGAGATCTAGCCCCGGGCTCCTTAAAGCTGGGTGAACTCTCCTCTGCTGACCTATAGTCCTCAGCCCTTCCTTGACCTCTTCTTTTTTCCTCTTTCCTCCCCTCCCCTTTTTTGGGATGGTGCTGGGCGTTGAACTCGGAGCGCCGAGCTATGTCCCTAGCCCCTTCAGTTATATTTTCAGGCAAAGTCTTACTGAGCTGCCCAGACTGCTCTTGAACTTGTCATCTTCCTGAGTCGGGCTCTTGGAGAGCTGGGACGACAGGCGTCCACTTTCATACCGGGCTGTACATCTATATTAATGGTCCCAAATAAAGCTGCCTTGCTGTGCTTTAGTATCACTGAATAATTTTCCTTGAATATAAACCCAGAATTTTTAAGAATGATGTCTAATATTTGATTTTCAATTGTTTTGTCCCCTGCCTTTCTGAGACAGTACCGCTGCATGTAGTTCAGGCTGGTCTTCAACTCACTATGTTGCCCAGGCTGGCCTCAAGCTTGCCGGAATCCTCCTGCCTCACCCTCCCCAGTGCAGGGATGACAGGTGTGCGCCACCACGCGCAGCTGGTTTTGTCATTCTTACCTGGAGTTAGGCTGTGTTTTGCCCTGTTAACTCCAAACCTCCAGGTATAAGGGAATGATGTGGCCTGTGGTAGTCTGGGAGGTTGGTCACATGGTGGGGAATAAAAGTAGCAGTAAAAGGATGTCCACCTTGCTCGTACCGTCCCTCCGAGGGGGACACGGTGGGCAGCATTAAATGGAAGTGAGTCGGCAGAGAACATGATGAGGACATGTGGGAACGCGAGCAAAGGCCCAGGGCCGAGTCCCAGCCAAGGGCTGGGAAGTAGGGACGGGAGAAACAAGTCGCAAGCTGCACTTAAAGGCCGACAAGAAACAGATTCCTGCTTCTGCAGATACTCTGGAAAATAACCCTGGGAGGAGAAACGGAGCGTGTGCTCACCCTCAGGAGGAACTGCTGAGCTCAGTTATCACGGGAGTTGTCGGGAACCAAGCCTAGAAGAGCTGCACCAACGGCCTTTGGAAGGAAACCTTTCATTTGGAGATGATGTGTGCACCGTGCCGGTGTTTTTTCTTTCCTGGTGGTGCTTAAAATACTAGTGTACCTTACTGTCAGTGGCGGCTCACAGTTGATGAAGTTCAGCGTGTTAGGTCAAATTTGTTAATTATTCAAACCTGTATCTCTCTGATGATTTTCTCTATCTGTTGTAAATTATGTTAAAAATCTAAGACTGAATTTTTCATTTCTGAATTTTGTCTAACATCTTCACTTTCTATTAGGTGCATTTAAATCTGGATGCATTTTATCCTCAGGTTAATTGAATCTTCTATCACTTTATAGTGACCATCTTTGTTCTAATTTTTATACTTTAAAATCCACTTTGTTCAATGTAAATCTAGCTATGCCAGCTTTCTTTTGGATAGGACTTCACTAATAAAACTTTTTTCATGCTTTTCCTTAAAGTACCAAATCTTCAATCTTCCTATTTCCTTGTATTTTAGATTTACTTCTTGTTGGTTTGGGTTTTTTTTTGTTTTTCATTTTTCTTCCGGTAGTAGGAATCGAACTCAACGACCTTGCGCTTGCCTGCCAGGCAGGCGCTTTGCCGCTGAGCTAAATCCCCAGCCCCTAGATTTACTTCTTATAAACAACATATACCTGGTTTTGTTTCCTAGGTCAAGATGACAATTTTTGACTTAAATTCCCAGTCTGTGTTTACATTTACTGTGATTGCTGATACATACAGATTTATTTCTATGATCTTATTTTGGGCTGTTTATCCCACTTGTTTATTTTTGTCTTTGCTGCATATGTTTTTACAGGGAATAGGATTCTAGGTATATTACTCTATGCGATGATACAGTGAAAGGAAGAAGGCCCTTTAGTATTTTGTCATCTCCCAAGTAGAAGTTGAGCTGGTAAAAGATGGTTCATACTTAAAACAGTTGTTTGAACACAACAAACTCACAGTAATTGTATTTGATTTCTTATCTCAGACTTCAGCAGTGAACAAAGAAGTGATATGGTCTTTTGTTTCATCGTCAATAATTCCTTGCTAGAAAGTCTAAGGCAGTTTTTTGGTTTTTTTGGGTTTTTTTTGGTACCAGGGATGGAACTCAGGACCTTGTACTTGCCAGGCAAGTGCTGCGCCGCGGAGCTATACCCCTGGCCCCTACGGCAGTTTTTGTGTAATGTTGTATAAACTTAGCCTGAGTGTTATTTACATGTTTTCTGAATTAAATGTTTGTTTTTCCGGTACTGGGAATCGAACTCACGACCTCACGCTTGCCAGGCAGGCGCTGTGCCGCTGAGCTAAATCCCCAGCCCCCTGAATTAAATTTTGACACTCATTTTTTCCAAATGTGATATTAAATTCCAAGAATTCTGAGTTGGAAAAAAATGCTTTGATTTTTCCAAAATAATTACCATAACTAAAAACTCCATGAAGTTCTCTTTGATCTACTTGAGTCTTCATTTATAGAATGGTACATTAAGGGGCCACTTACAAACTGCCAAAAAAATACTGCAATCATGGATTACTTATAAATACCTGTTTTTATATTTAAAAACACAGACTGGGTCCACACTAAATTTGTGTCGTTTCCCCCTTAGGGAAGGAAATGGGACTAGGCAAAGGATGGTGGCGACCCACCTATCAGTGCATTTTTCTTTAGATTCTAAGATAACAAAATATTAACATTATCCTAAAAAAAAATATATATATTAACATTATCCTGAGTGGCGAGTGTACAAAGATTATTAACTATTTTTGTTTGTAAAACTGTGATTTTTAAATATGGGGGGTTGCCATCTAGTGGACATATATATATATATATATCTTGGGGTGGGGGGATTTCGGTACTGGGAATCGAACTCACGACCTTGCTCTTGCCAGGCAGGCGTAGGGGACATATTTAAAGAGAACTTCTAAAATCTTGTATAAGAATTTCATAAAATGGAGTGGAACAAAGCTTTTCAGACTCAACACCCAGGGAAGAAAGAAGATGCAACCAGGCATGGTGGCACACACCTGTGATCCCAGCACTCAGGAGGCTGAGGCAGGAAGATTGATGTAAATTCAAGGCCAGCATGGGCTACAAGGTGAGTTAAAGGCCAGCCTGAACTGCATAGTGAAGCCCTGTCAAAAAAAAAAAAAGACACAGATACACTGTGATGGGTAAAACCACAAAATTCAGGTACAGTGGTCCACACCTGCAATCCCACCTGCTTGAGGGTGAGACAGGAAGACTGAGTTCAAGGCCAGACTGGACAAAAGGGTGAGACCCAGCATTAAAAAACAAAAACCAAGCAAACAACTCACAAACTTTGAGGTTGATCAGACCTAGGTCGGAATGTTTTATTATGGTGTGAATTCAGGCAATGTCAAAGCTCTGTGTAACTTAGTCTGAACTCTGACCTGAATGCATTTAACAATGATGAAGTATTTCTGTGAGCCAGAGACTGAGGGTGGAAGAGAAGCACCCTGCAGTTGTGTTGGGGAGGGTGTACTGTTTGTTGAGTGGTTAGATTGCATTTAATTCTCAAATCCTTAGGAATGCTCACATACCCTTAGGTAACTACTGATCACAAAGAGGACACTAAGATCCAAATTCCTGTAATCACTGTACCGTAGGAGGGTGAAGCAGAACTCTTAAGTTCCCACCCAGCCTGGGCAACTTAGGGAGACCCTATCTCAAAAATAAAAAGGGCCGGCCAAGCGTGGTGGCACACCCCTGTAATCCCAGCACTCAGGAAGCTGAGGCAGAAGGATCACTGCGAGTATGAGGCCAACCTGGGCTATAAAGTCAGTCCAAGGCCAGCCTGAACTGCGTTGTGAGACCGTCTCAAAGACAAGAAGTAAAAGGGCTGGAGACGCAGCTCAGTGTGAAGGTCCTGGTGTCTGTCCTCAGTGCATACACACCGTACACACACATCTCAGGGTTGTCATCAGTTTTTGGTGCATAGTAAGCTCTCAATAAATGGTAGGTATGTACATATAGGGAAACCTTTTGGGTTCTACCACCTCAATGTAGGTGTCCTTTTACAGTTTAAATATTGAAAACAAAACTTTTTATGACAGTGGATGACATTGTAAGGGTACAAAGGAGATAGGGCCTTGCTATGTAGTTCAGGCTGGCCTCGAGGTCGTGGCAATCCTCCTGCCTCAGCCTCCCAACTGCTGGGAGATATGCGCCATCCCAGCAGATGACACAATTCTAAACCCTAACACGGATCTCAGCATCTCTCCTAAGTATATGGAGAAAAATGCAGGTTTAACCTTGTAACTTCAAGCTAGTAACTACTGAAAGATTAAACAAATTCCCAAAGCTCTAATGCCAGTTCTTCAGACTGCCCAATAACAAGTGCATCTTATACACCCTGGATGTGTTCACGAGCAGTATTTTCATAGAATATAACATTATGTAAACTAGGCAAGTCTGGTCTCCACTTTGAAATCTGATTTCATGTTTAGACTACACTCCCGACACAAATTCTTATTAAAAATGTGGTGAGCTCCACATTGATTCCAGAACATGTCATTTATAGCGAGCAGTGGGAAGCCGGCTGTCTCACACAGCCGGAGGAAAAGGGTCCACCAAGCGAGGCTCGGCCCCAAGCCTGCAGGGCGCTGCTGGCCACTCGGCTGTGTTTATAGGGTGAAGTAGACCAGTGCGGCAGCCATGCCCAACACCCACCCAATATGCCATCTGTTAAAACTCCCTCAATGTAAAACCGGGGCCCAGACCTCATATTCTTCAGGCCTAACAGGAAACAAGTTTGAGATTCTGATTTTAAACATGATACGTGATCAAATTTTTTAAAAAACTGCTGCCTAATCGGTGGAGTCTCATTTTAAAATAGAACAATTCTACCAGGAGGATCAATAACAAATTTATCAGTTAGGTAAATGCTTCTGCATAACAGGCTCTCAAACAATGTCCTAAGTATTTGTAGAACAGAAATTTTAGCTTAGTTTATAACTGGTTTAGACTGAATCAGAATAGAAAAATACCCCCTTTAAAGCAGGCTGTATACACCAGGATTGTAAATTTGTCCTCACTTTAAAACTAGAATGCTAGTTAATGTAATTGAGAATGGCTGTCAGCGAGCTTGTCAATATAGCACTACATTTTATACTGTATTCAGCAAACTTTTATCAAATGTTCTTTAATTTCATTGACAACAATATGAAACGTATTATATAAGAAGCACACAATAGTTTTGCAGTACAATTTCAAAGTGTATACAAATTAAAGAGTACAGAGGTGAAACACTGGTGTACTGACAGCATTTTGAACTTTAGGTAAACTGCATATAAAATGTACAGTTCAAATATTAGCTAATCTGAAAACTTCACTTCCCATAATATAAAACTGATACTTTGAGATGCAAAATCTTCTTCACTTAACAAACTATATAAACATTTAAAATAATCATTAAAAACTCAACATTAGAATTTATAAAGATCAGCTATAAAAATATATTGGCAGTTGCTTTTCTTATAAAGGTACCATTCACTGCATTACAAAATAGTCTCTAACATAAAGTTGCCTTAATAATTGTACTATTTTAGAACCTGATAAACTTTACATTAAATTGATTATAAAATCCTCTTGGAAAACCTTTGGTATGCAATCTTGAGACGGTCTTTTAAAAAATATTTTAAGGGCCTGTAAACATTTCATTCTATTAAAGCACAACAGAGTAAGTAATGGGTATTAAACTGCATATAGGATATAAAATCAAAAAACCAATTTATTATATTTTTGTAAAAAGAAAATTCACCCTTACCAGAATAAACTAAAACCAAAGTATTTAAAAGTATCAAACTTTTAAACAGTGCTCTTTTCATTCTGATAAAAAACGTTACAAAATCACCACATTCTAGTACCTTAGATGCCTTTTAGTACAAGACCTCAAAAAATAGTTAACCCGGTCTCAAAAAATCATCTGAAGTCCAACAAACTTTTAAAAACCCATTTAGAAGATCTGATAAACAAGTATACATAATCAGAACACATAATTTATATACTTCATATTGTATCAGGTTTTCTTTTAATTTGTAATTTAGAATTTATTGGTAGAAACAACACACACACACACACACACACACACACACACACACACACACGAAAAAGGTAAATTTCAGGAAACAGAAATGCAAACCTATAGGGGAAACTGATTTATTTTTGAAGTTTCTATCTACTGAATTTGTATTGATGACTTCTCTGCCAGTTTTGGACTGAAGACCAGTCAGATGTTTAAATTGTTGAAAGTTCATTTCTTGCTTCTTCTGTTTAATTTTTACAAAGCTTCCAGTTGTGCCAGTAGCTCCCTTGAGGTCACTTTCCATGGTATCCTGTCACCAAATCTCGTGGATAAGACGTCTTTGCATTGCAAAAGCCTACACAGAAATTAGCTTCACTTTTGACCTTTTAATTTATAAAACTCCACTACAAAG